TAATGACAATAATTATGGGATTGCAGCCATCTCTTCATTGGCTTCTAAAGCTTTTATAGCAAACATGACATCCCGTCATTTTTCCACCTTCTGACTCCGTGTCCTGATCTGGATTCTGTCCTGCTCACTGTTCTGTGGCCCCTTAGGAGTTCCTGGTCTTCTGAGGCCCCTGCCGCCTACTAATGGCCTCTCAGACGCTGGATGATGGCCAGCTGGGTGTGTGACATCGTCTGACCCAGATTCCTTGTCCCTCCCACCTGCTGTCTGGGTGGGACTGGTTCCCATCTTACCTGCCGATCGGTCACAGACACACCGCTTCTCCTGCTCCCTCAGGCCCGTGCTCCAGACACCGACAGAATGTCACCCCTGGGCGTCTACAGCGGGTCAGTTTCCCAGCACTGCCCAGCCCTGGGCGTGGCTAGTTCCGGAGCGGACAGGGCACCCTGCTGCCGTCCTGCTATGCACACCTGGGCAGATCTGAGAGGGGAAGCCTCTGTGTGATGCAGGATGGAGGAGTCAGCCTCCAGCTCTTGATCTTGGGGCTGCAGAACTTACGCTCAGTTGGGCTTCCCATCACTCACCCGACTGGGGCCGGCCTCGGACTAGCTGCCCCACTGAGCATTGTGTCTGCCCAGCAGGTGTCCTCCAGGACTGTGGGCCCGCACCGTGTGGACACCCCGTGTCCTTCCAGGAGGAGCATGCACCCAGATGTGAGGCTTCGTGACCCCCAGTCAGCAAGGAGGGAAGAGCCATAGTCTGAGAGGGCGTCCCCCCCTCCCCCCCGACAGACCTCTGTTTAGGTAGGTGACCTAAACACTGAAAGTCGTGGGACTTTGGTTGTCATCAGAACTGGATCCACATGACCAGCATGTAGCAGCATCTCACCTCGCAAGTGGAGGCCTGAGCCGGCTCTCACTGTGTCCGTCGCCCGGCAGTTTAGTGAAAGGCTTGAGACCTGCCTTCTTAGCCCCCCAGGCTCTGGAGTTAAGCAGACGTGAGCTCAGACCTGCGCCCTCTCACACAAGGTGGACCCCGTTTCACCGCACTTCACAGACGTTGTGTTTGTACAATTGAAGGCAAGACCCGCCACCAGCAAACGATTACCACGGCTTCCTTGCGATGCTCACTTTATTATGGTGGTTGGTGACCAAATTCGCACCTGCAGGATCCCCGAGGGTCCTGCCTGCATTAGTGTGGGACCCAGAGCACTTTCTAAATTCTTCCCCCTCTGTTTCCTCCGCCATGAAATGAGGATGGTCACAGGGCTGACCAAATTGGGTTGTTGGAAGAATTTAAAAAGTTATTTAGTGAACAGTATTTAACAAGGTGCCTGGACCATGGAGAAAAGATCGATAAATTGTTCATTATTATTGTTGTAGTTCTTCTTCTTCTTAAGCCTCTGTCTTGTACCCTCTCCTGGGGCAGCAGTGGGACACATCCGGCACTGGCCAGGCCAATGGAGGGGCAGTGGAGGGTGCGAGGTGGAGGCAGGAAGCACAGGAGGCCGCATCCTGAGACCAGCTGGCCCTGCAGGCCCTTCAGAAAGCGGCAGGCCTTGAGCCTGGCCTTCGAAGAACTTCTCTAAAAGGGCTGGACCAGACGCAGCCAGGGCAGGGCCCCTGAGAGAGGGTTCAGGCCAGCCCTGCCCGCAGACGCCCTCCCCACTGGGCCTCTGACTGCGCAGGCGGCCCGGCAGACGGCCCACCCTCTGTGGGGCTCAGGCACTTGATGGGTGGAGGCGGGAGCCCACAGTGGGCCAATGGGTGGTGGTTGTGAAATGTCAGATGTGGGAATACAGTAACCACTGCACCAAGTGATGCTACCGTGTAACTATCTGTGACGGTAATTACACCCAGAGATGAACTCGGAGGCTCACTCTCCTCCCATCAGGAAGACTGTCTGTCTCCTCCCGCCCTGGGAACAGGGACTCTTTTGTGACATTGGCTCCCTGCCGCTTCCTCCCTGGAGGCCTCCTCAGCCCCTCTGCGTGGAGCCTCCCCCCTGGGCGGTCACAGTCCTCTGCAGGCACACCTGTGGCACAGGGCTGGTGTCCCAGTCTCATCTCCCTACAGCACTGGGAGGTCCTGTGTGCAGGTACCTGAGTGGCCTGGCACAGTCCTCCTGGGCCCCAGCCTACTGCCCCAAGGGTCATGGACATTCTCAGGTGCTTATGGCTGGGATGACGTCCTAAGACACTGTATGGTGACAGAGTTTAAAAATGTACGTGTAGTCAGGGGGTGAGGTGCCCTTGGAAATCTCAGGAAGAGAAATTTGTGAACATTCTCTTCAGAGTGTCCCCCGTCTCTGTTAATACTCACAGCCTATGGCACGTTTGCCGGTGGGACCCCTCAGTGGGGCAGGGGCCTCAGAATGTCACAGAGCTGCAGTGAGGATGGCTGGGGTCCCCGGGCTGGCAGCTGTGCAGCTGGCCACTTCACAGTTCTAGGGAAATGATGGCAGATGTCCCAGCAGCTTCTGCTCCCTGATTGTGGGGCTGGTCCGAAGTGGAGCCTTGTAATTCTGCGCATTTGCATTTGGCCCAACACCCGGGAAACCTGATATGTAAATGAACCCAGTGTTCATTTACACTGAGCCCTGTCTGTGCTGTAGACACACCGAGGAAAAGAAGGCTGCCCCCAAAACATACACATAAAAACATGCACACACCGCCTGGCTAGTGTGGCTCAGTGGTTGAGCATTGAGCCATGAACCAGAGGTCAAGGCTCGATTCCCAGTCAGGACACATGCCCGGATTGCAGGCTTGATCCCCAGTGTGGGGTGTGCAGGAGACAGCCGATCAATGATTCTCATCACTGATGCTTCTATCTCTCTCTCCCTCACCCTTCCTCTCTGAAATCAATAAAAATATATTAAAAAAATGCACAAACCAATAAAACATACACACACAACACACACAAAATACAGCATATACAATGCACATATAACATATACACAAAACACATACAATCACAAAACACACAGCACACAATAATACATACATACAAAATACAACACACACATAAAAGACATAAACACTTTATGAAAACATATGTGTACACAAAGTATATACACATAAAGCATATAAACACCCCCATACACACAGAAAAAAATAAATGCACCAAATACACACACAGGCAGAAAAATATAGCATGTCAAAAAGTCTGAATGGTGATGGCTCTGTAAGGAGTGGTTAGATAAGTGAAAAAAGATTTTTTAAATTAGATTCCTTAAAAGGTTCTGTAGGCCCTGGCCAGCTACCTCAGTTGGTTAGAACATTGCCCCAATAAGTTAAGGCTTCAGGTTCGATCCCTGGCTGGGGCACATAAAAGAATCAACCAACGAATACATAAATAAGGAACAACAGGCTCGCTCTCTCTCTTCCTCTCTCATTAAAATTAATAAATAAAAACATTTAAACTCATTGTATGATGCAACATTTTTAAAAGTATGTAAGGAAGATATGTATATGTTTTGACCCAGCAATTACACTTCTAGGAATTGATCCCAGGAACATAATCAGTGATGTATGCAAAGGCTTAAGTCCGAGCATATTTAGCATGGCACTGTATATAAGAGTGTAAAAATGAAGACCTGATGTTCAGCACTGGGGATTAGTTTAATAATGTTTATTCACAAATGACCCTTGTCCTCTTCCTCAACCTCCAACAAATATAAACGCAAATGAGCAAACAAAGCATTCTGTTGTGCATCAACGGTGACCAGATTACCAGGTTCACTGAGGTTCTGTGGGGGGCACTACAGGGACTTTGCAGTGTGGGCTCCACACCCACGACATCACACCCCCTTGCCGAGGTGACCTCCCTCTGGAGCCCAGGGCAGGGTCTCTAAAGGTCTATTTCCCGCAGAGCCTACAGGGCTCCTCCCACCCCGTCTCCTCCTGGTCCCTGGGAACAGGAGCACCTGCCTGGGAGACAACTTAGTGACGGTCTTGACTTTGCTTTTACTTCATCTTTTCCTTCACCGTCTCGTCCCCATCCCAAAGGTTTATGAAGAAATTCTCCAAAGATCTCTTTCTTAGGAAATTAACAGACAAAATAGGGATTTTAATCCCAGCTCTCAAGGGAATGACCTTTTTCCAGGCCTTTAGCTGAAGAATGAAGTAACTTGCAGCTATAAAAAATCCTGTTGCAGCAAAGTATTGATCACATGAACAACCTGAGGTGTCGTATTGAGTAGAAAAAGCAAGATGCATTGTAGGAAAGGCGTGTTACAAAAGGATCTACAGAACACCTTTCTGTCTGCATGTAGGTAGATGTGAGCGTGGAAAACCATAGAAGGAGAGACCATTGAAGGGACAGAGCCACCACACGCTCATAAAGGCCTGCGCTCTCATCCTGTGCTGCTGGTGGTGCCCAGAAGCTGTGACCTTACTTGGTTGTGTGGACTTCCATCTGAATTGACTGGCTGGCTTTGGTGTTGTGAAAGGACAGGAGCAAATTCAATGCAGAGCACACGGGAGCACCCGGTGGGCTGTAGAGAGAAGCTGGTCGCTGGGGAGCGTTGCATGTCCCCGTGGAAGGAAAGGTGGTGGGAGATGTCCGTGACGTCCTGGAGTGCGTCTGGAGGAGAGATGCCAGCAGGGCCTTTTTCTCGGGGACATGGGCATTGCACCGGGACTGGGGCAAAGAACCTACGTGAGGGCGGGACTTCCTGCAGCACCTGCCACTGCCTGACCACCTTGCGTCTCCCTTTCTTTCCCTCAGGTCTCTTCCCCACCCCTTTGTTGTTGGCGTACATGGGCAGCCACCCCGTCTGTCTTGAGCACCTTGAAATGTGCTGAAGAGAGGCGGACCAGTCCTTGGCAGAGTGACATGACCCATAGGAATTTTGCTTATGTGTACAAATTGCAAAATGGCAGGCGATGACGACTGATAACGTAAGATGTTGTTATCATTGGCTAAAGGAATGCTGTCGTGGCTTTTATATATACACCCCCCCCCCAACATTATTTATAAGAAGGGTAAGGCCTGGTTCCTCCAGGTCAGAGATTTCGAGGACAAAGACCGGAGGCCCAAGGGCCCAAGACAGAGCCACAGATCGCGGGGATCCCTGGCCCAGGTAGGTGGTCCTCACCCCGCGCTCAAGAGGCCAACAGACACGATGGGGAGACAGACACCCTCTCTGCCCCCTCCCCTGTTTCAGCCCAGCAGCCAGGAGCTGTCTCCTAGGATGGCTTCCCCGCGGAGCTTAGGACACCTTAGGGAGACGCTGGGACCTGGTCTGAAGGCTGAACTGATTTCAAAGTCTGGGAAGAACTGGACTTCAGAAAGAGATATTGGGCCCCTGTATTTTGAGCGTCCCTAGATGGGAAGAGATGGATCTCAGGTGCCTAACGCCCTGCTTCTTTAGGGAGCCTTGTGGACCCCACTTGCACTGATGTTGATGTAGGTGGCCCCCATAAGCAGCTCCCGGGGACACCCGGGGTCCTCCCTCTTGGGCATCAACCTGTTCTCCCCCAGGAGCACATATTTGGGCACCCACATTTCTGCCAGACACCTCTTGTCTGGTGGCCCGTGGCTGCCAAATTCTCTGCCTTCTTCTCTGTGTCCCTTACTTCCCCCTCCCAAACTGCAAAGGTAATTGTGCTTTGTGGGTTCAGGGGATGCAGACAAAAACCAAACATAAAATCAAATAGTGGTACCTGTGCATCCGTGAAAGCCCCTCCAGGTCTCCCTACCCCAGGGCCACAGGGACCATCCCCGCCTTTCCCCACAGTCCTGGCTGCCGGGCCCTGGAGCCCTTCCTTTTCATGTTTACTTTTTGTGAAACCATTTACTTCCCTTTGGCACACACTAAGCCTTTCTTGGAGGTTTGGTTTTCTATGTAAATTGACCATCAACAATGTTTTAAAAAATATATTTTTATTGATTTTGAGAGAGAGAGGAAGGGAGAGGGAGAGAGAGAGAAACATTGATAGGCCGCCTCCTACCAGGGACCAAGCCCACAACCTGGGCATGTTCCCTGATTTGGAATTGAACTGGCAACCTTCCGGTGCATGGAAGGACACCCAGCCCACGGAGCCACACCGGCCAGGCTCCACCTGCAATCTTAAAAGTGGTGTGGCCCTTGAGAAGTCTCTCGAGGTTTTCTTCTTGAAAACTTTTCATCTTGAAGGTTTTCAAGAACAAGGATTCTTGCCTCTGCCCTCACAGTGTTGTCCTGAGCTGACGCTGGGAAAGATTCTGAGTGAACTGAGTGAGAAGTGATGCATGACATTGGGGGAGGGGAGTCTCCTGTGTCAGCCTCCTTAACACAGCAGGAGCTGAGCCTCCTGGGACAGCTCAGAGGCTCCGTTTTCCATGACAAGAGCCTGCAAAGAAACTGCCTTTCTTTGCAAGATTAGACAGCGAGGAGGTGGGGTGGGGTG